TTTTGGCATTGAATACTGTCTTATTAATAATTCATTTTCTTCCCCCTTCCACCTCGACTTCTTTGGTACAATCTTATCCTTAATCAGACTTCTCCACTTCGTCTTCTATTTGTGACGCCTGAGAAGCTGGCTAAGAGCAAGCGCCTCTTGCATCGTCTCGAGTTATCTTATAACCTGTCGGCAGGCGATTCTTCAGCCTCCGGATCGACAAATTGTTGTGCTTCATCCAAAAACAATTACCCACGCCTAGCTAGGTTTGTAATTGATGAAGTCCATTGTGTCAGCCAGTGGGGTCACGACTTTCGACCGGATTACAAGTTCCTCAACGTGGTGCGTCGTCAATTTCCAGCCTGCCCGATACTCGGGCTTACTGCTACTGCGTCAGCAGAAGTGATTGTTGACGTGCAGAAAATGCTGGGACTAACGCCAGAGACCTGCCTTGTCCTCCGGTCGGGATATAATCGACCCAACCTTCGTTATCAAGTGTGTGCTAATACGTGAGAGGGTTCTCAAATAGTCGCGCTGCAACAGGATACTACGATGTATTTTGAGACGTTTCATTCGCTTGCTTACATCCCCCAGTTAAAGCTCTAAACAAGCTGATGAAATTATCTGATTACATCCTTAGACCCGGTTCTTTAACAAAAGTCATAAAGCAGCCGGCTTCAGCTGTCTTTGTCTCACTAAAGTACTACCAAATTACTGCTCAAAACTTTAACATGTTTTTCTCGATATGAATATTAAGTGGGTCTCGATGAATCTCCTTAAATAACATTGTTGTTGGGACCTTCATTTCGTATGAAATTGCATGAAGAATGGATTCGTATAGGTTGTTTGACCTTGTTTTTGCAACTTGGTCATATTGGTAGGAAGGCTTAGAGGAATGCACCTCGTTCGGAGTTAATTGTATGCATGATCATATCTAAAGTCGGACCGTGGACGTGGCACATTCCCAGAAGTTTCGCCGGCATCTTAGTCGGCATCTTCAGTAAGTTTTGCCATTCGTAGCACCATATTACAACTAGTCAAAGAGACAAATGAAGCCGATCCTTCGGCCAAACGTGTGCTAAACAGTTATGGTATCTCCCCTTCTGCCATGACCTATTCACATTGTTTAACCACAACGTTTGTGGGTTGGCACGCAAGAGAATAGGGCATGGGAAGTCATAGACTTGGTATCACAGATAGAAAGAGGATAGAACTAGTGGAAGTTAGAGCTAGTTGACTAACAATAGTCGTGATTCAAGGATCACTTCTATGATCAAACACGACTATTTTAGCAAAAGAGCTTTAGCCTCCGCCGCGTCTTCTTTATTTCTATCTGTGAAACCATGTCCATCACTTCCTACGTCCTAGTCTCTTATGTGCCAACCCACAAATGTCGTGGTTATACTTGTTTTAATTAGGCTCACTGAAGACGTCTCCTCTTGGCTTCGGATTCTTCCTTTCTCA